GGCTGGGAGAAAACGAACTGAACTTGACCCCGGTGTCATTCTTTTCAAGTATAGTTGTTTTGTTTCTCCTTTCTTATTCCATTTTTATTTTATTTTATTTTATTTATATTTTATTCAGATAGAGTGGGAGGGAGAGAGAGAGAGAAACATCGATGTGAAGGGACACATCGAGTGGCTGCCACCCACACGACCCAACCAGGGCTGGGGACAAACTGCAACCGAGGTACGTGCCCTTAGCGGGAACCGAACCCGGGTCTCTCCAGACCGCAGGCCAATGCTCTAACCTCTGAGCCAAACCGGCCAGGGCCTTATTCTATTTTTAAAGATGATTCTCCCCGATCCCTTAAATAACCATCCACCTATTCTAAGAGCTGGAGATTGAGTGTTCTCATAACCAGCCATGAGTTAGTGACAACTGACTTTTTACTCTTGTAAATAGAAACATAAATTCTGCTCCTGCATGTACTTCATAGGCAGTCTCTCCAGCACTTCCCTGCACAGCCAGAGGGTGTGCAAGGCTTCTGAGTCAGCAGTCAGCTGCCACGGGACAGGACATGCAGGATGTTGTCAACTGGCAGAAATTGCACTGATGCCCTGGAAACCTGGCATTCATCTCCTCTTCCTCTCGCCTCCTCAGGCTCCTCACTTCCCTTGTCCCTTCCTTTCACAGATTTCCTGGTCTGTGGCTTTCCTGTGACTATGAATATTGATTTTTCCCAGGATACTGGGATGTAGCATACACAGGGTGGTCCATGAGGGGCATGATCTGGATTTGACCTTCAGGAATGAAGGAAACAAGGGCAATAACAGGAATGGATGGCCCTTCTGCAATTCTCCCCAGCTACTCGGGGAGTGAATCAGAATGCCAGATGAGTCTCTTTGATAAGTGAGACATCTGAGTCTTCAGATCCACAGAACAACGCTGGGGCCTCGTAGGGTGTCTTCCCGCTGCCCTCATTTGGCTTGCAAAGTAGGAAAAGTGAGGCAGCCCCGGGGAATTACTCTTGTGTAGTCTTACCTTGGGTGCCTGTCACATTGTTCCAGGAACCAATTTACCTCTTGTCATTAGTGACCCGAAGGTCGAAATCCCTTCAACTGGGCCCTTAATACTTGCTTGCCACTTGGAGGCAGGCCCTGTGTGCAGCTGTCTGGGAGTTGTGGTTGAAAGCTGTACATTTCAAAATGTTTTATATGAACAGAAGGGTTAGGGCTGGTTAACGGTGAAGGGGCTTATCTGTGCTGGTGTTTGATTTGGATTCTCTGTGGGGGTTAGCAGCTCTTTGGAAATGAATACTTATTTCCAACAGAGTGGTCTAGAGCCAACCCAGCAGAGTTAGCCTCTGTAGTAGAATTCTCTGAAAACAAAGCCTGAGACTCTTCTAGGGAGGTGTGAGCATACGGCCGGCATTACAACAGGGGAAAGCCTTTTGGAAACAAGTTACAGGATCTTTAATGTGTTGGTTTTAGCAAGAAAATTGTAGTGCTGAGTGCGCCGATCCTGGCAAGGCGTGGAAGGTGGCTGCTGCTTCGGGACAGAGACAAGCCATTTTCTTCCTTGGCACGGGGCAGAAAGATCAGACCAGGTATATTAAGGCTTTCCAAACATTGTGACTAGTGGAGCTCAAGCTGACGATGAGGCAGGGTGTCCACGGTCAGGCTCGCTGTCTGCCTGCGAAACAGCAGATAAAGACGCAGAGAGCGCCACAGGGAGGGCCCTGGCGGAGCGAGCGCTCTGGGGCCTTGTCTCCTCCTTGGTTACGGCCTGTTGCCCTTCTGCTTTGGGATAAACACTTGTTTTCTTTTCCTGCTCCACAGCCATCTTTTGACTATTATTTCTGAGATAACCTTGACTTGTAAGAAAAAGAATGGGCTCTTTACAGGAAATTTAAAATATTTCTCTTGGTGCTTAGTGCTACCTAGAATAAACTTGTATTTAGGGGAAACTGAAGATGAGTTCCAGTTAATTCCACTCCTTGCTGGACTCTTGGCCACACAGATACTGGAACAAATTGTTTCTTAGTGGTGAAACAATTTTTTATGTGTTTCTATTGATTTTTTTAGAGAGAGAGAGAGAGAGACAGAAACATCAATGAGAGAGAAACATGGATCGGCCTCCTCCTGCGTGCCCCCACTGGGGATCGGGCCCACAACTGCAGGCATGTGCCCTGACCTGGATTCAAACTGGCAACCTCTTGGTTCATGGGACAATGCTCAATCCACTGAGCCACACTGGCTGGGCAGTAGTGAAATTTTTATATCCAAAGCTAGGAAGAATTGTTGAGTAAGTGGTCTATTTGGGTGGAAAAGCCAAATCAGTGAGTTTTGAGTAACGAATTACCATCTTTGCCCTGACAGGTTTCATTCAGCGGTTAGAACGTCAGCCTGCGGACCAGACAGTCCCAGGTTCAGTTCCCGCTAAGGGCACGTACCTCGGTTGCAGTTTGTCCCTGACTCCGGTTGGGGTCGTGTGGGTGCCAAGCACTCGATGTGTCTCTCTCACGTTGATGTTTCTCTCTCTTTCTTCCCAACTCTCTCCCTCCCGCTCTATCTGAAGAATAAATGCAAAAATGTCCTTGGGTGACGATAAAAAATACAAAAAAAGAATTACCATCTTTGACTCAGTCTCTGCAGCACATGAAGAGTATGCATCTTTTGACTTAGAAAATGGGGAAATGGCAGTTCCTTGTATTTAGTTATTAACTTTCACTCATGAAACTTAACATACATCTTCAGTTGATTTGGTTAGCCTTACATGTAGAGAGAAGCAAATGTCATTCCTACTTCTCAAAGGGACTCTGTTGCCCAGTGCAAGAGCTTCAGAGAACATGGGTCTTTTTCCGTGTTCTCAGCCTGCAGCTGTCTTCTGAGAATTGATTTCATTAGCACATGTAGTTTGGTGGCTCCCACTATCCTTGGGTTGGTTCATTGATAGTGGGTTACTTCTTGCTTCTGCACCTGAACACAGTGGATCGACAGCTCACTTCTTCCACCAGCCCCCATTTAAAACAGTAAATCCTCTTTAAAAAATTGTTTATTGATTTTTAGAGAGAGAGGAAAGGAGAGGGAGAGAGAAAGAGAGAAACATCGATGTGAGAGCGTAACATTGATTGGCTGCCTCTTGCATATCCCCCACCAGGGATTGAGCCCTCAACCAGGGCATGTGCCCTTGACCTGGAATCGAAGCCGACAACTCCTAGTGCACAGGATGACACCCAACCTACTGAGCCACACCATCCAGGGCAGTAAATCCTCTTTGAAGCAAAGGTCCAGTGCAGTCCAGTTTGTCACATTGGTGGTAAATTGGTGATGCTTCTGTGATGGACCATCATGACTACAGCACCAGGAAGGAGTACTGTGACCAGCACTAAACTGAGAGAACTTCAGAACTGGAAGAGAGTTTAGAACTCATCCCATCTAACCTCCTCGTCTTATACAAGGGACAGTTGAGGCCTGGGGAGGCAGTGACTTAGTCAGGGCCATGCAGCCAGTGTCTGGCACACGTGGGCTCAGTCTCACTGCCCTGCCCTCCTGTTCTGTTCTTCCTATGGCTTAGGCTTGGTCTTTGGCCCTTTGCCTCCTACCCCTTCCCCCAATTATACATCTAAAGAGTGATAAATAAAATATGGCACAAAAATGATGAAAGAGACCCAAGGGAGTGAGTGGATAAAGAAGCACCTAAGGTGCCATCTCATCTTAAAGCTTCTGCCCAGCAAACACAGGGTAGTGGTGTGTGGATGTTTTTGATAAGTGGAACGTGTGGACATCATCATTATTATTGTCAAATATGTCTGGGGGCAAAGTGGAATGGCTGTACTGTCTTTCCACCCTGCCATGCATCATACGTAGCGGCAGGACTTTCCAGTCCTTGAGTCCCTGCCGACTTTGACATTTCTGAGCTTTGTGCTTTTTAGACTGCTATGACACTGCCCTTTGATGCTCTTCAGACCTCTTCACTGTGCTCATAATCTTTTTATAGAGCTCATCTCTCTCTGCCAGCCCCTTACAAGTCTGCGTCCCAGGTCTTATTCAAAGCCCACGGCTCTTCTCTCACCACGGACTCTCGTTGTGTGGTCTTACCAGGTGTCATAGGTTCACTACCACCTGTATGCTGATGACGCCTAAATCTGGGGCTGGGTCCCCAGCTACTCCCGCACTTCACACTCATACCCATCTGCCTAGCGAGCACCTCCACAAAGGCAGCAAAAAGGTAACAGGTCACCCCACTGTCACAGATGAGTTCTTCTGTTTTTAATCCATTGGCCTGGTGCCATCATTCACTCATCCTGGGGATCATTTTTTACTTTTTTACCTTAAGAGTCACTCACAAGCCTTCCTGTTTTACTTCTTTTCCCATAAGCTATGCTTCTTCCCTGCCTGCTAATACTTATTTACCTGCAAGACTCAGCTGTCACTTCTCAGAGGTTCATCTTCATCAGGGGCCTCTCTCCCTATGACTTAGGTACTCTTCCTTAATGTTCCCAAATCCCTTTGCTCCTCTCACTAATGACACTTAGCATAGTACATTTAACATTTTGTTTATTAGTCTGTCTTACCCACTGACTTGCAGATCCTTGAAAGTAAACACTGTCCTACTCCTCTGTCCTCCCCCAGTGCCCCAGTGCCTGGAGAATAGAAAGTATGCAATATACAGCCCAGCCAGTGTGGCTCAGTGGTTGAGCATCGACCCATGCACTAAGAGGTCTCTGGTTCGATTCCTGGTCAGGGCACATGCCCAGGTTTGGAGCCAAATCCCCAGTGGGGGGCATGCAGGAGGCAGCCAATCAATGTTCTCTCTCATCAATGTTTCTGTCTCTCCCTCCCTCTTTCTTCCTTTCTCTCTAAAATTAATAATTTAAAAAGAAAGTATGCAATATACATGTGTTGAATTAATAACTAGAACACTCAGAGATTCCATTGAGAAAGAGTTACATCTTCCAAAAAATTGTTTGTAGATGCAAATTTGGATTTGCTTAGCATTTCCCTTTCTTTGTTTTTGTTAGATTAATCTGACAGTGTTTGGTGGACCAGAGGCCATCCCACTGCCCCTTTGTGCACTGCTGAGAGGGTGAGCATGGAGGAGAGGAAGAATGAGATAAGCCAAGCGCACACCCTCTTTGACCGGTTTGTGCAGGCCACCACCTGCAAGGGAACCCTTAAGGCCTTCCAAGAGCTCTGTGACCACCTGGAACTGAAGCCCAAGGACTATCGCTCCTTTTATCAGAAGCTCAAGTCCAAGCTCAACTACTGGAAAGCCAAAGCCCTTTGGGCAAAGCTGGACAAACGGGGTAGCCACAAAGACTACAAAAAGGGAAAAGCATGCACCAACACCAAGGTAAGGCTTTGGCTTCCCTGAGGCCCTGGAGTCACTGACCTAAGGATTTAATCAGAAAGAAAAGATTTTGAGTAGAGGTAGACCAAGAAAAAAGGATCAAGTAGAGGTCGCCTGGGTAAGAACTGGGTCAAGTCGAGCCATGATCTAGTAGGAAGTCAAGCCTTATACCTTGTGGAAGGTTTGTGGAGCCATTTGACTGTCCCATGTGCCAGACTTTACTCTTATTTCATATATTCATATATTCATATATTGAACATTGGGGGTTTCAACTATTGAAGAACAACTTCTTTATTTTGCTGAGGCTCTGTTTTGAATCTCACACTGTAGGATGATGTAGGTCATTTAGCAAAGAACTAGCCAGGCCCTATTAGTATCCTGTACGAAAATGGCTTCAAGTTGCTTGGCATATCAACTTTGCAAAGTCATTGTTCCATACTCAGTAACTGGTAAGATATAGATAGCATCTGCCAACTTGGGAATTTGCCACAGGCTTCAGATGTCTTTTATCCATATTCCAGAAGTCTGTTTTGATAAACAAGGGCCTTGTGAACCAAATTATTTCTTTTGGTTTCTTCACAATATATAGAAACAGTGTTTTCACGAAAAAGGTAGACCTGTGCATAGATCTGAGATGTTCAGTCACCTGTGCAAAGAAGGGTAGGTGTGAGGAAGTGGAGGAGGAATACTACATTTCCTGCTGTCCTGCTTACGTAAGAATACATCCGGGAGAAAAAGCTAATAGGGGGACACAGTTGCAAATAACTTCATGACTGTGCCATTAATGTGCTTTCATTTGCCTGCTGTGGGTACCTAGAGACCCATGCCCAGTGGATTTGCATTTGGTTAGATATTCATCAGCAAAATTCAAGAAATTCAAAGACATGCCTTTTATGAATGAGTTCTATAGTTTTATTAAGGATAAAAGGAGTTCAAAGCCAAAAACATTGCATGTCTGTTTTTTAATTCTGCACATGCAGTGCAAACTAGTTAAGTAGTGTCCAGTCTCACCCTGAGAACTTCTCTAAAATATGGATTTTCAAGATCATTTTCCTGGACTTCCAGTCTAAAGATGTAATTTAAGAACTCTTTTTCATTACATGAAACTTTGGCACTTGGAAGCTGCCTATTGGGGGTCGTCGGAGTGGAAGACCCATTCCAGGACTCTACAATGGCCAGGACTGTGTGTAATCCCCTGTGTCTCCTCGGACAGAAGTCTGCTTGACTTCGACATCTTCCAGAAGGTCCTCTCCTACTGATGAAAGATGTTGTGTGATTTTTAAATTGTTTGTTGAAATGATGACCCATTTAAATACGTTGCAAATCTACAGGATGAATATGTGCTGAGTCTGTGTCCAGCACTGACTTTGAGTCCCTTTATTCACAACAGCCACCAGCTTTTCTTCAAGCCATTGCAGGTGCTCTGTCGTGACCAAGATTGGTTGGAAGGGAGAGAATAGCCCTATTTGGGGCTTTAGGGAATGATGGTTACGAGATCATGAAACTGTTACAGAAATGTGAGCTTTCTCCCGAGGTGCTGCCTTGGCCCTGAAAGCAGCTGTGTTTTTCAGTGTCTCATCATTGGAGCTGGCCCCTGTGGTCTCCGCACAGCCATCGACTTATCCTTACTGGGAGCTAAGGTGGTCGTCATTGAGAAACGAGATGCCTTCTCCCGCAACAATGTCTTGCATCTCTGGCCATTCACCATACATGATCTGCGAGGTTTGGGTGCCAAGAAGTTCTATGGCAAGTTCTGTGCTGGAGCAATCGACCATATCAGTAAGTAAAACCAGTTCTATTAGTATCTGTTGTGTAGAAACACACTCTGCTTAGAGTCAAAAGACCTGCCATATGTGGTTCTGTAACCTAGAACTCTTAACTGCAAGGAATTTAGCTTAGGGATTTCTAAGGTAGGTCTTGAACTCTTATTTAGAACTTGCAATGAGGGGATAGACATTGGGGCCAGGCTAGGAAATAGATGACCAGTGTGGGCCTTGACCCGACTGATGGTTCCTAGTCCAGTGGAAGAAGCACAACGCGTGCAGTTCTTTGGAATGTGATATGGAAGGTGCTATACCATTGTGAGAACAAAATGCTGTGGGGACACGGTTCTGGGGAAACTGCAGTTAGAGAAGAAGCAGACTCCTACTTTGGTGAATGGCAAGTCTATAACGCAATTCCTTTTGTTCGGTGACTCTCATGAGGTCTGCAGCCACGGGAGCTCTTGCTATACTCTTGTCATCTCCATGCTTAGCTTAGGCTGTGTTTTTCTGAGATGCTTTGAAGTAAATCCAAGTTAATGCAGATAGTGATTTTGTTTTCATGACTGTGTGTGTTCATGAAAACAGTATCTACTTTATGAGGTTGAACTATGATCTTCATTAATGATTCCAGGGAAGGCTTATCAAAGAACTTTTGTTCTGAGTGCCTTCAGATGTGTCCTGTAAATACATTCAACTACTGAAACTTTTGCTGTTCGAAGCGGCTGTGCCAATTTACCAAACACTGGCCACATTCCCGTGGCAGAGGATGCGCTCTGCCCACCTGTTGGGCTTTAATGTTTAAAGCATCTTGGAACCCAGTTGTCTGCAAATATAAAATGTGCGCTAGCATGGGATTCCATGAGTCCCTGCGCGTGTGACTCAGAAGGGGTCAGGTTGTAAAAGCTGGGGAAATAACGAAATGATCTGCAGGAAGATGTGCGCATACTCCCAGCACATTAGTCACAGGCCGCAGGTGTTACTGGTCTTAAGAGAGGACCAAAGGGTCACTCATCCAGTGGCCTGTCTGCCTCATGTGTGGCAGGATTAGTGTTGCAGCTGTGTCCTGCATCAGGGACTAGATTTTCATCTCCATCTCTGGGGCTGCTGCCATGTCTGGCACCTGGCACGTACTCACTGAATATCAAATTAGTAAATCTCACTGGGATAATGAGCAAGATTTTTATTCATTCTGAGCCTTAGTTTCTGCAACTGTAGACCAGTGGTGGTGGGGAAGGGGGCATGGTTAGAGACTACTAAGGTTACACTGAGGTTGCTGCTCTCACCTTGTAAGTATCTGTGAAGATCAGTGAGGTAAGAAGATGAAAGAGAGATGCTGGAATCCCAGGAAGTACTGCAGCCCCTTTGGATCCTCGTGGAAACCACACCTGTGGGTGCACATGCTCTGCCTCCTCTGGTAACTGCCATGTGCTGTAAGGACTGCAGGTTCTGCTAAATAATTGTGTTCTGACTGAATCTGGGAAGATGGGAAAGAGAGTCTCCTGTTGGCCGCAATTTCATGTTGTCTCAGAGCTTTTGATTGTTTTCAATATCTCACCCAAGAGATGGGAGTGGGCTTGTGTGGTTCTCTAGAACATTTCTTGCCCTTAATAAAGAAAAAACTGTGGAACATGGCTTGGAAAATGTCTCCTCTTACAGGAAGCTTTGGGAATCTGGGTAAACTCTGCATAGGTGGACACGGGGGGACCTGAGCAGGGACCACTAACTGGTACTGTTCTTTCAGCATACCCTAACTATCTTATATTTTTGTTCACCCAGGTATCCGTCAGCTTCAACTAATACTTTTGAAAGTTGCATTGATCCTAGGCATTGAAATCCACGTCAATGTGGAATTCCAAGGACTTGTACACCCTCCTGAGGACCAAGAAAATGAACGTGAGTTGGATAGGACAAAGGGAGGAGGGATAAAAGGGCATCAAATGGGTGGGAAAAGATGAGATCAAAGCAAAAAACTATAGGAACCTGCGAGTTGTTTTCAGAACTAGTTAAAAAGGGCTTCTCTATTTGTATAGCCAGTATCTTTTGAGGAACTTTTGACTTGGTGAGGTGGCCTTTGAGATTGTATTAGACATTGCATGCACTGGTATTCGTTGTAGAAAATTGTATGGGCTTCTCCATGAGGCCTCTTTTTTCGTTTGTACCCCATGCTTTCAAACCTACTGTTTTTGGCTGGGAGTCTGCCTACCTGGGTATCTTGAGATGTCTTAGATGTAAGAATTTGATCTGGATGATGACCTTCATTTTGACTTTGGTCCACAGGGATAGGTTGGCGGGCACTGGTGCACCCTAAAACCCACCCTGTGTCAGAATATGAGTTTGAAGTGGTCATTGGAGGAGATGGCCGCAGGAATACTCTGGAAGGTACTGCTCAGTCCTCCTTTGCCTGGTTCACAGCAAGTGAAGGGTGGCCTTCTCTGAACCCTGGGTGACAGTTTGTGTCTTCAGAGACCGCACTCCTAAGAGTCTGCATATGTGTCTCATTGAATGGCTGGCCCAGCCCTCCCTAGCAGCAGGCACTCGGGTTGCTTCTTGCAGGGCCATCCTGCAGGGTGCTAGTACACAAGCCGCACTTTGAGCAGTGGGCACTGCTGTGGGGTTAAACCTGCTTACTCAAAAGGCGGCTTCCCGCCCTGGCTGGTTTGGCTCGGCAGTTAGAGCGTCGGCCCACAGACCGATGAGTCGCGGGTTCAGTTACAGTCAAGGGCACGCACCTCAGTTGCAGTTTGTCCCTGGCCCTGCTTGGGTCAAGCAGGAGACAACCAGTCGATGTGTCCCTCTCACATCCATGTTTCTCTCTCTCTCTCCCTCCCTCCCACTCTATCTGAAGATAAATAGAAAAATATCCTCAGGTGAGGATTTAAAAAAAGGTGGCTTCCCTTATTTTAAAAATGGAATTCCTGCCCCTAGCCAGTATGGCTTGGTAGTTAAGTATCCACCCATGCACCAAGAGGTCGCTGGCTTGATTCTCCGTCAGGGCACATGCCCATGTTGTGGGCCCAATCCCCAGTGGGGGGCATGCAGGAGGCGGCCAGTCAATATTCTCTCTCATCGATGTTTCTTTCTCTCTCTCCCTCTCCCTTCCTCTCTCTCTAAAGTCCGTAAAGAAAAAATATTTTTAAAAGTGGAACTCCTTGTGGTCAGTCAGATTTCAAAATTTTTGCTAGTATATGGGAGACTTTGACTTTTTTTCTGAATTGTTATATTCTTTGGTGGGTAAACACCCTATTTTCAGATTGAGAAAAATTGCCCTGAAATTTTCCATTGATTCCTATCCCGTGTTCCCAGATGTAATCAGCAATACCCCTTCTCCTGTTTGAAGTGCTCTTCCTTCCTCTCTAGCTAGCTGTCGCCACCTCTGAAAATATTTTTCTCTCTAGGATTTCGTCGGAAAGAATTTCGAGGCAAACTGGCCATTGCCATTACAGCAAATTTTATTAACCGAAATACAACAGCAGAAGCCAAAGTGGAAGAGATCAGTGGAGTGGCTTTTATATTCAACCAAAAATTTTTCCAGGAGCTCAGGGAAGCCACAGGTTGGTGTCAGTGCCTTGAAAGCAATAAAGATAGAACTTTAAATAACTGCTTTGGCTTTCCGTGGGTAGTGTGGTGGGGTGGGTGGTCACTGGTGTCACTGCGTGTCACTCGCCCCTCTGCTCCTTCCTTACTCCATGCTTTGTTCTGAGCATGTCCAGATCACCATTGCCTGCTCTAATGTCCTTTGTGCTCATTGCAGGGACTGGGCTACTCTGGATTGGGTTTTTATTCACGTGTTTGTTTTTCAGTGTTTGTTCTGCCTTCTACCAACTCTTCTCCAACCCCTTCTCTCCACTGTGGCGCCGAGTGATGGTGCTTAATGCAGTAATCTGTTGGTTGGTGGTTCTCTGGTTTATTAAGAACCTGCCTTGAGGCATTGAGTGTGTAGTCTTCTTCCCAAGTCCACTTTGATCTTGAAGTAAACCACATGCTAGATAGGAATGAGATTGTTACACGATAGCTTTTGAATAGATTAATTTAGATGTTTTGATGCAACAAAAACATACAGCAGATTCCAGTGTTCTGTTTTCTTTCCATTATATCTATTTTTTTAGATTAATTGAAATTAAAAATCGGTAGTTCACTCTCTGCTTCCAGGCATCTAGTTGTCTGTCCTGCTCTAGGAGATTCCCCCAGTTGCCTTGATGACTATAAAAGAGGCTTAACTTGATAATTAACCCAGACCATCTTACTAGAGGTTGTTCTTCCTATTTCTTCCAATCCTTATATATTTCTGCTTACTATCGATCATTGTTTTTAGGATAATTTAGGATGTTAAGTGAATTACAGAGCAGTACAAAGATAAACAAAAGTTCCTCCCTCTTTTTGTGAACTGACTGTGCAGGGAGTGAGAATCTGGTCTCAGACAGCTTTTTTATTTTCTCTTTCCCTGCCTGGAGTTTTACAGCCCTGGTCTCCGGACCCCTGTGCAGTCTCCCTGGCTGCCCTAGTATACCTTCATCTCAGTGAACATTCATCTGCACATTTTTGTTTCTGGTTGCAGGTATCGACTTGGAGAACATCGTCTACTACAAAGATGACACACACTATTTTGTTATGACAGCCAAAAAGCAGAGCTTACTAGACAAAGGGGTGATACTGCATGTAAGTGATAGGTTTCTTTCAAACCTCTTTTTATGTTATACTGGTTAGTATGATCACCAAGAGAAAGAATATTATTGTCAGATGAGTTTTTCGTGCAAGGGAATGAAAATGAACCCCAAACCCATCTCCAGGTAACGAGTACTATGTTTTTTAGTTCAACTTAAAAAAATACCTTTTATTATGGAAATTTTCTAATATGACCAAGCGCAGAGAGGCTGGTCTGATGAACCCATGTGCCCATTATCCAGCTTTAACAATTACTAACACGTGGCTGGCATTGTTTCAGTAGTACCCCGCTCACTCCCCATTCCTGCAATTGGATTGTTCCAAAGCAGATCTCAGCTATTTCAGGAGTAAATATTCAGTTTAATTGCAGGTAGTTTGATTTGTGGTTCTAGAGACTTCCATATATGACCCGTTATTGGTTAGTTAATAGGCCGTCTTTTGGAAGGGGTGCTGCAGGGAACGGAGCTTGACCAGGAAGCAGTCTGTTTACAGGAGCCTGAAAATGGTTCTAGTTTTACTATACATGTGGCTGTCAGAGGCCCAGTGAATCCTGACTGAGCCAGAGTGTGTTTAGACCTCTGCCTGACCTAACAGTAAGAGCTTCTTGTTCATCCTTAGCCCAGGTCCTGCTTAGCCTTTTTTCTAGGTGACTAAATGTGTGACCTTCCCTGAGATGATGATCTGAACATGAAGTCAGAAAACCACAGGGTAGAGGGCTCCTTAAGCGGAGGGCTCCTTAAGGAGAACTTCTTAAGTCTGATTTGGTCTCAGTGTGAGAATTACTGTCCCCACAGTAATGGATGAGATGGAGAGAAGATGTGCTGACTCAGCCTGTGCTGTTCCTACCACAGACTCAGCTGAGCTTCAGGGTGCCCTCTGTGTCGAGGCATGCTAATGAGTCCGGTCTGTGGCCTTGTCTGAGAGCGGTGGTGGGGTGAGCTCATGCACACGTGCCTGTAGCCCAGCCTCTTGCCACTCGGTGCCTTGTATCTGCTTCTCAGCCTTGTGGCCCTTTATGTCTGCAGGAGGAACAGACCAAGCAGTGTGTACAGCCATTCTGCCAGGAGCACAAGCAAGATGTGCTCGAATGCCTGATCAATACGAAATAGCCAGTGCTCCCACTGGCATTTGTTGAAATTATGTAGGAGAGAGGAATGCCAAGACTTTTCCTTTTCATTTATTTATTTTGTTTTACAGGGCAGGGGCTACACCTTCTGTGTGTGCTACTGAATACTAAATTCATTCTGGCCACTTAATGGTGAACAAACACTGTTTCGAGGACCAACTTGAGTGTTTGTGATTTGGCTTTTAACATCTTGTAGCGGTAGCTGAAAGTACCATCAGGGATGCTTGGAAAACATAGGCCCCACTTTAGGAGAAAAAAGCTTTGGCTCGGTATACCAGGAACTTCCAAAACAGAAAAGGAGTTTTTCGGTTCTTTATGTGGAAAGCCCCTTTTCTCTCATTATTGTTTTCTTTGTTGGTGTGGTTCTATGGAGCCTTTCAGAATCTTATCGATTTTTACATTTCTGTACCATTTTGAATCTATTTCTTCCCAGTCCCTGGATGGCTGTTGCTCCTGCCTCCACACCTTTCTGTCACTGAAGCTCTGGGTCCTTCCGTGGGGTTTGTGGAGTTCTGTAAGGCTGAGTGTTTCATGTGGTCCCGGTTGCCAAAAGTGATTTGCTACCCAGAAAGGAATGATTGCTGATAATGACATAAACTATAAAGTGCCTTTTCAGTTCAGCAGCACCGTCACAAGTTATATTACTTGGTGTCCAGAACAGCTGTGAGGGGCTGGATGGGCAAGGGAAGCGGTGACTCGTCCCAAGTACGTGGGCAGCCGGGCTGTGTCTTTAGCAGCAGAGCCTGTGCTCTTACAGAGAGAGCCTTCCCCTTTTTCTGGGTGATGTGTGTCAACACTTGCTGTGGAATATGAACTCACTTTGGGGGAAAGGGACAGGTGGTAGAAACTCGGTTGTGTCTGATAGTGTAGGATGGCTTGAGCAGCTACCCTTGTCCCTGGGCTTTTCCATCAATCCGCTCCCCTCTCTGGAGACAGGACTATGCCGACACAGAGCTCTTGCTTTCCCGGGAGAATGTGGACCAAGAGGCTCTGCTGAGCTATGCCAGGGAAGCAGCGGACTTCTCCACCCAGCAGCAGCTGCCATCTCTTGATTTTGCCATCAATCACTATGGGCAGCCTGACGTGGCCATGTTTGACTTCACTTGTATGTACGCCTCCGAGAATGCTGCCTTGGTGCGAGAGCAGAATGGACACCAGTTGCTAGTGGCTCTGGTTGGGGACAGCCTCCTAGAGGTGAGTATTAAGGACGGCAGCACTTACTAGTAATTGGAAACAAATCTAGGCACTGAGGTTGTGGAGTGAGTGTCTACAGCATTAGGTGAGCTCCCGTAGGGGTTGTTACGTCAGGAAGTAGGGAAGCATTGCAGACCATGGGGGACCCTAGATTGCTAAGTAGCAATGGAAATGCTGCAGCTTCCATGACTTGCCCTCTGCCAGTTTGTGAAGCAGAGAAGTCCAGCGTCTGAGCAGTTGCCAGACTACTTTCAGCAGCAAACTCTCTTAGTTCCTGAGTTTATTAGCCTCTCTCTTTTGAAAGGTAATTTATTTTAATTCTTTGTTTTATATCTCCATAATAGCCTTTTTGGCCAATGGGAACAGGAATTGCCCGGGGCTTTCTAGCTGCTATGGACTCAGCCTGGATGGTACGAAGTTGGTCGCTAGGAACAAGTCCCTTGGAAGTCCTGGCAGAGAGGTAATGGGGAGTAGCCAGGGTCCTCTGGTGAGAAAACGGGGTGATGAGTGATGTGCCCTGCAGGCAGAGTGCAGGTTCTTTCTCCCTTCTCTCTCTTCCTTTCTTCAGTGAAGATGCTTTCATACTTGAGAGAAGAAGGTAAGATATTTGTTCAAGAAATTATAGAAACTTAAAAGAGTCTAATCTTCTAAGTGTTCTTCTCTTATCTCTTTCCAAACTAAATTTGTTGCGCACTAATGGTGTCTGAATCTTTGTACACCATCGACAGATGGTGTCTGAGACCTTTATGACAGTCACATAAACATACACAAAAATAGCACATTAAATTCTCTTGTCCTTAAACCAGAAAGACATATACTAATGAAACCAGTGTGGTAATAGAGGCTATACTAAAATAAGAGAAAAAATTAAAAGTGACTGAATTCAAAGGAAAATTCCAAACTGCCTGTAAACATTTCTCAAATTTTCAAATGTCAGATATTTTGAAGCAGATTATTGCAAATGAGGTAAGATTCCTATGATCTGCTGATAAAGAACAAATGCCTTAACTTGAAAAACTAGAGAAACAAGATTTCCTGGGTGAAATTGGTGGTTTATATCATTTTAAGTCTGTTACTTAAGGTACTCTGGGTAATTTGGCTGCAAGTTCTTTTTTCACTTGTGATTCTCTTAAATATTAAATATTAGCATACTTGAAAAAGCAAAACAGTAAATCAGTGCCTTTTAAATGAGAGTCAGACTTTTTACCTCTGCCCAAAGCAGTGTCCTTGCTGTCCTCGTTGGCCAGGCCTGTGCGGCCCCTGAGCTGGTAGCGATGGGGAGCCAGCGCTGATCTAGGATTGGAGGAAACCAGTCACGGATGAGGATTTGTCATGTCCTTCGGATCATGTGGGGACTGTAAAATGTAGAAATATTCTCAAAGGAGAGGGAAATGTTCGTGGTGCTTTTTTGTGCTCTGAGTATACCGCTGTGTTTTTGCAGGGAAAGCATTTATAGGTTGTTGCCTCAGACCACGCCTGAGAATGTGAGTAAAAACTTCAGCCAATACAGCATAGACCCTGTCACCAGATACCCCAATATCAACATTAACTTCCTCCGGCCAAGCCAGGTAAGTGCCTTCCAGACAGTGATCTGTAGCTGGGTCCTTTTTAGGGCTGATCAGACCTCTGAATATTGAAATGTCTCCATTAATAACAAACATACAGACAACACTTCTCTCAAGTAGATTTGAGTAGACATCTCTCTGAGTTGGTTGGAGTAGGTAGTATTTTCCATCATCACATTGAGCAGCTGAGGCAGAGAGTTGTTGAATGACTTGCCAGAAGATCAAACGTGACGAAAATGATGGATCCAGGACTTTAACCCAGGCTCCTGATCAAACTGTGTGCTGTAGGGAAGGAACACTGTTCGCTGGTCAGGAAATGTGGCCTCCACTCACTCTGCCACCACAATCTCCTGTAACTTGGACAGGTCCTTTCGCTTTCTCAGAACCTCAGTTTCTGTATTGGTACAATGAAGGTGATCATCTCTGCTACCTACAAACAGGATCGTTGTGAGGACAGCTGAGATTGTTCACTGGAAAGAACTTTGAAAGATAAGACACTCTATAAATAGAAGATATTGTTGGTCTTTTTTTTATACTGAGTTATTTTTCAGAATGCTTATAACTGCAATAAGAATGACAGTTTAGGCAGAAATTATAATCATTTACAGAGCATAATTATCCCAAAGAGCCCACCAGTTTTTTAGAAAGTAGACTATTCAATGTATTTGCCTATGTCCTAGTATAAATTTGTCTTCACTTTCTACCTGAAGTTGACACAGTTAGGCCTTCTGTGCTTGTGTGGTTCATGAGGGGTCCGTGGAGCCTGCTGTTAGAGGCAGCGAACCCAGCCCAGCGAGGGCATGTGAGCACCAAACACAGTGAGCCTTCTCATGACGTGCGGGAACCGGAACCACCTGCACACCTAGGAGCAGTGGGCTGGATACATTAACTGTGGTATATTATACAGTGGAGCGTGTACAGTCATGAAAAAGACTATTGCTACATCCAGCGTAAACGAATCTCAGAGACATTAACAGTGTGCAGAAGAATCTACACACAAAAGCATATGTACTGTATAATTTCATTTACATAAAGTTCAAAAACAAGAAAAACTAACCCTTCGTGATAGAGATCAGAACAGTGGTCACCTTTGGGATCAGACACTGACAGCGAGGCTGGGTTTCACCTGGTGTGTTCATTCATAAAATACGTCGATTTTTACTCTGTGTTGTCAATAAGAAAGTAGATGTTTTCTTCAAAAAAGGACCAAAGAAGACTATCAGAGGGACTTATGTGGTTGAGTAGTGAATTTTTAGCACAACTTCTGATAGTTAACGTGTTTGTCTATATGTAAGCCCACCACATTCCAGAGAGGATTCAAAAGTCATCATCCTAACTTCTGTCTAAACGTTATCCAATCTGCTCTCACAATATTTCATGTGTCATTCTCTTTTCAGGTGGGAATTTGTTACTTGGTGTCTGATTTTCCTTCTTTACAACTTTTTACCTTTCTTCCAGGTGTGCCATTTATATGATACTGGAGAAACAAAAGATATTCATCTGGAAATGGAGAACCTGAATTCCCGCACTACCCCAAAGTTGACTCGCCATGGTGAGTTCTGGTAATGCCCTTTTGAAATGCAGGTGACCTCTTCAGAGAAGCCTGGAAGTACTCATTGGGCGCTTAGTGTGCCCATGACTATGTAAGGCAGTGGTTCTCAACCAGAAGTGCCCCTAGAGGACATTTGGTAGTTTCTGGAGACATTTTTTATTGTCATGAGTTGGGGAGGTTGCTCCTGGCCCCCAAGGATACTGCTAAACCTCCTATGGTGCACATGTCAGCTCCCAGCCAAAAATATCAGTAGTATCAAGGTTGAGAAACTGTGGCCTAAGGTATCATTATGAGGACATAAAGAGAAGCCAGATAAAAGTGCTACTGAAAAAGGGAAGAAGAGAAGGAAAGCTTATGGGCACACAGACACACCAGCCAAGGTTTTGGGTTAAAGCTTCATGGAAGAAGCAGCGGCATTTTAACCGAGTGCTGTGATGCCACCAGGACACAGTGACAGGTAAGGTCATTCCCTATTTTGTGTGCATTGAAGGCCTATAAAGATTTGTTTTAAAGGAGAGTGACGTGAGCATACCTCTCTATGTAGGACGGGATAGAGAAGGTGAATGCCATCATAGTAGTCAAGCTGACAGTTGTAAAGGCCTAGCATCTGGTACTGATGTTGAGGATGGACGGAGAGGACAGTGGACCATAATTAGAAGAAATCTCATTTTGGGGGCAGGTACAACTGGGTCCCAGTCCAAGCTTTGCCATTTGTGAAGTGTGTGGTCTTGAACAGGTTATGTAATATCTCTGAACTTCAGCTCCTTGTCCATGAAGTGAAGATGACAAACCCCTGCCCCACACGTGGTCTGAGGGCCTGTGACATGCATAGCTTGTTTGTCATGACGCCTGACAACTGTGTTGTTCCTGCCTTCGGTGGTTTTTCAAACTGGATATATGCCACAGAGAGGGCCCCATATTAATGGTACTAGGTAACCACGCTTCCGTTAATATTTTCTGTTCTTTTAGAGTCTGTACCTCGTTCAAGCAAACTGCTTTGTTGGTGCCAAAGGCAGACAGATGGCTACACAGGGGTCAATGTGACAGATCTCACCATGTCTTGGAAAAGTGGCCTGGCCCTCTGTGCAGTTATCCATAGATACCGCCCTGATCTGATGTAAGTTGTGACCAGAATTTCTGTTTCATTTTATACTCCTTAAGGATCTCAGAGTACTCTGCTGTCAAGTAGCCAAACTTGTAGTTTTTTCCTAAAATGAAATACATAGTAAGATACTTTTTCTAGAAAGCAGTGATTAATTTTGACTTAATTATATTTAAAACTCTGAGTGTTAAGCATTATGTAGCTCAACATACAAATGATTAGTTGATTTTTAAAACCACAGTACTCAAAAGGTCAAAAATTGGTTTTAACACCCACCTGGGTGTGTTACTGTCACACAAAGGGAAAATGTTCATTGGCCGCAGGTTGAACTCTGTTTCAGCCAGCTCTCTCTCAAGTGTTAGTGGTCATCAGGAGAACCTGGCTAGAACATTTGGCTGGCTGATGGCAAATGTGTTACTACCAACAAAACAAAACAGTCAGCGCTTCCTCGATTTATGATGGTCATCGGTCTTCCCTCATGTGAAAGGCTGAACTCTGCAAACATTGCCAACACCACAAAACTCAGGTCGCCTCACCCACCTGCACCTGTAGCACCTCCTCGTTTGGCCATTCTCAACTCACCAAGGTGCAGAATCAGTACAGCAGGATGACCCTAGGGCCCCTGTGGAGACCGCTGTGCTCAGGTTTCTCCCATGGGCATTCTCCCATGGAAGCCAGACAGAAATGCTGGGAAACAGAAGCAGAGCATATGGAAGCATTTTGGCTGCCTGTTCTTTTATCATCAGGTCCACTTAAGGGCCCAATTTTTGTGTGTTTGTTTTAAATGATTGCATAAGAAATCCTAAAGGACATAGTTCCTATTTATATTAGATTGTAAGTTAATGAGGCAAGAGTGTCAAAACAGCCTTGCATAGTGTGATTTAGGAATGGGGGCTTCTGATTGACTTGGGTAAATGTAAGGTTCATGCAGAAGTGATAGGAGGGCTTACCTCACCAGAAAAGGGGTGGAGAGGACGAGGGAGAGCTTGAGAAATATTGTGATAAATGGCAAAGAAGGGCCAGGTCAATCAGTTCTGTTCCCAAGGGAAGGCAGAAGTAACTTCAGGGAACCCAGCAGGTGGGGGGAGGTGGGAGTGTGGGGTGAGGGACACATCCCTGCTGGAATAGACCACAGGCTGTTTGGAGAGGGTCAGGGCGTTTTCCTGTAACAGGATGCAGAGCAGTGAGTAGGTAACTTGGCACTGTTTAGACTATAGTGACTCATCCAGGATGAGCCTGTAGATTAACAGGCTTAAGGAATTTTTTTAAATGAAAAACTGCTATGGAGTCAGCAGGTTAGCACCATGTGAGGTGCAGTTAATCTGAAATCCCCTAAAGAAGAACGCTCTCAGTCTTTACTCGATTGAGGAGCAAGCAGCTTGAAATCCAGTGGGAAGTGTTTATTAATACAAGTACTTGGGGAAATTTAAGACATTTAGCAGTGGAAAAATCTTCTGAGAACAGTTTTGGAATTCCCCTTTAAGTAGACGTCTGAGTAAGATTTATCAGCTGATTTAGTACATCAGTCACTTGTCAGGGCCAAAGAACACCATGGGTGATAGTCCCAGGCCTTTAAGAGCAGTCTGATCCAAATAGAATTTTTATCATTATTTAACGTTAGTTTAATGAATATAGGTCACACACAAGATGCAAGAGAATACATATTAAAGATAGTTTCTATTCTTGAGCTTACATTTTATTTATTTATTTATTTATTTATTTATTTATTTATTTATTTATTTATTCTTTATTGAATTTAGAGGGAGAGGGGCAGAGATAGAAACATGGATGAGAGAGAACATCAACTGGCCGCCTCCTGCACGCCCCCCACTGGGGATCAGGCCCACAACCTGGGCATGTGCCCTGACCGGGAATTGAACCGGCGACCTCTTGGTGCATGAATGCTCAACCACTGAGCCACACCGGCTGGGCTTGAGCTTACATTTTAGTAAGGAATTTATGTGATCAGAAAAATGGGGATAGTGTTTTAACTTTCCCTCTTTTTTCTTAATAGGTAGATGTCTAATCATCCTTTCTCCTTGAGGATGGTTTCTAGCTCGGATTCGCTCTCAGGTTTCAGGGAGGCACTGTACACAGGGTTTTAGCTGAGCAACCAAGAAATGATGGTGACTTCTTGATAACTGTTATTTGGGTGGGGATAAGCACTCCATCTTGATACATTTTTCTTATCCTGTTTCTCAGAGATTTTGATTCTTTGGATGAACAAAATGTGGAGAAGAATAACCAGCTGGCCTTTGACATTGCTGAGAAGGAACTGGGCATTTCTCCCATCATGACAGGCAAAGAGATGGCCTCAGTGGGGGAGCCCGACAAGCTGTCCATGGTGATGTACCTGACCCAGTTCTACGAGATGTTCAAGGACTCGCTCCCCTCCAGCGGTAAGGACTGGGGGCGGTGGTGTGGGAGCCCCCACGTCCTCTGTTGTTGCCCGGCTTTTCTTTCTTCCCTCCCGGTGCCCCACAGCAGCACCCTCAAAGGCTGCGCTCACTCTGCTTTTACTGCTTGACCCTCAGGGCAGGTCCCGGAGCCTTCGCTCCGTTGTTTTCCCCTCTCAACCACTTGTTCTTACTCACGTCTTTCTCACGAAACCTATAAATACATAAAAATCATTCCTGTCCAGAAATTTTTCTCGATTCTGTTCCCTTCTCATACCCTTTCTCTCAGAACCAGCCTTTTTGAAAAAAGTGGTTTATGCCTGTGGGCCACTTCTCAACTGCCCGACCTCCGTAACACCGCGACCTGGCTTCTGTCACCGTGCCTCCAGGTTGTTCTCCAGGCCATGAAGCATCACCAGATCTGACTTCTTCCACGTCTCCTCTCGTGTCCTGGGTCTTTCTAACTGTTCAGCCCTGTAGAAGGACATCTTTTCTTTGGAACTCTCTTCTCCTTGGCTTCTGTGATCCTGAACAAGCGGGCTTCATTTTCTTCTTTCTGTAACTGTTCCTTCTCCAGCTTCTCTTTCTTCTCCTACATTTTAGTGTTTTCCAAACGTCTTTCCTTGACCCTCAGTCTGTTAGCATGCAACAAAAATATTTCTGTTGTCATTCATCGTCTCTTGGAATAAGTATAGCATTATGCTTAGGAGTGTTGACCATGGCACTGAACCTGGGTTTATGTCCCAGTACTAACACCTGTTCAACCTCAGGCTAGTTACTCAGTTTTCCTGTGCCTCAGTTTCCCCTTCTATAAAAATGGGTGTTTTTCTATACATAATTAGATTGTGATATGCTAAGAAGAATGTTTGTCAAACAGAAGCATTTAATAAATGTTAGCAACGTGTTTTTAAAATTACTATTGTTACTAATAAAACACTGCAATCCACAGCTTGTGACTGTCTTGTGTATGCCAGCCCATGTACTCTCATAGATGTTTGTGGCTTTTTCTGTTGGATACACAGTTTTTACAACAGAAATCCTAGCTCTAACACGAGTGCTCACGTGCAGGGAGAGCCCCCGACTGTGCAGCTGAGTGCACAGTGCCTCATACCCCAGCCCAGTGGCCCTGAGCCACCTGCCCTCCCTCGCCTTTCTCCGCCCTGAATTTGTTATCCCAGAGATGAGGCTCTAGCACTCCTCCATGATTAACAATCACAGGTGGGTTCCAACTTTTGAAAAGCAAAAGTGGAGGTTTTTGTGACTGCAGTGGATGGGGAAAGAGTGGTATTGTTTATGTTCATGGAAAAGGCGCCATGTGTGAAGCGAAGTATGCATTTTCCCTGGGACCGCCTGCTGCCCTCCCCCTGCTTCAGAGCAGAGGGGTCTTCAGGTGGCCGAGGTTCGGGGCACCTGTAGCAGGGCGCTTCTGGTCAGTACGTTGGGGCACCTGTCCTCAAACACTGCTTTCTGTTCACAGCTGCCTTGGACCTGAATGCTGAAGAGAAAGCGGTCCTCATGTCCAGCACCAAGTCCCCCATCTCCTTCCTAAGCAAACTTGGGCAGACAATCTCTCGGAAGCGTTCTCCCAAGGTGAATGGAAAAATTTGGTCTTTTTTTCCAGCTGCAGACCCAATGGCAAGGCGTAGTGACTAGAATAATGCACTTTAACTCCTTTCTTGGTGTAGGATAAGAAGGAAAAGGACTTGGATGGCGCTGGAAAGAGGAGAAAGACCAGTCAATCAGAAGAGGTGAGAATTATCTGAGATTTGTTAGAATGATTATACTGAATTGCCCTTTTTGTCTTAAATCCTTAATTTTCACTGGTGTTGCTAGATCTCTTTATATTCATCCTTTATGAGAATTTTTGTGGGAAGATGCTTTTTCTGTGTGCTTTTGCCTCTGTTTAATTTTTTGAAGAGCATCCAAGGGAACACACACACACGTGTACCATGGCTTTCCTATCTCTTTGGAATCGCACAGCTGGCAAAGGACATTGGCTTTCCTGGGGTGACATTACCAATAAAGTCTGGGTACATCTTTATACTCCCTCTTGAGATTAGAGCTTTGAAGAGAGCTGTCAAGCTTAACCTAAAGCAGAAATACCAGCTGCCATGCCAGGCCCTAGCCGCACTTCTCCTTTGAGGGAAGGGCATTGGGGGCTCCTCTAACAGAGGCTGGTTCTTGGGTGTCAATATTGATCAGGAGGAAGTGCCCCGGGTGTGCAGAGGAGGAAGACCCACACTGGTGAGCACTCTGACCGACAGGAGGACTGATGTCACCCTCAGCAACCAGAACAAAGTGAGGTACATGGCAACCCAGCTGCTGGCCAAGTTTGAGGAGAATGCACCCCCACAGTCCACTGGCGTAAGGAGACAGGTAAACCCCTCACACCTCGTCCATCCACACTTGGTCTGGCCACATAGGAAGGAGGGATCTTTTTAGTTGAATGAGGTGGGGTGCGTTACAGCCTGAGGACTCGTGGGCTCCAGGCGGGTCTGGTGGTCCCCTTGTCTGACTGGCAGAGAGCATTGCAGAAGCCCCTCGTGTGCTCAGCACTGCTCCGTCCTCGCCGCTCAGTCTGAGGCTCTGAGGGTCCAGCAGAGGGGATTTACACTTACACTACCTGGTCAGTGGGTATGCTCACATTTAAGCTGTAAAGGAAGTACCTGCTTATTGAGGAAAATGCTGAGAAGTCTGATAAAGGTAATTAAAATACCTTTAATTCTGTTAATATTTTGTTACAGTTTTTCCTGGTCTTTCTTCTTTAGTGCATTCTTGTCTTCATAGTTGAGGTCATTCGTAACATACGCTTTTCCATCCTCCATTTTTTCATGTAACTTTGGTCACATTCCCGTGTTGTCCCAAACTCTCTGAGCATCTTCAGTGTGTGCGGTGCTTCACCCAGCTTTCCGGATGTTCAGTCGTTTCTCACCAACAGACATCCTTGTTATAAAGCTGCTTTTGTGTGTTGCAGATGACTTTCCTGGGCGCTCCTTAAACTAGGGTGGGAATGTGAACATTTTAAAGATTCCTCATGGATACTGACTTGTATTCCCTAAGTCATGCCTGAGAGTGCTGGACAGGAGCCTTTAAGGATGTCTGCATCAGGCTTTGTCCTCCTCCTGTTTGTCTAAAAGTGACTAAGACTTCTTGCAAGAAGAGATGCTGGGATTTTGAGATTCATACTGAAAATTTCTTTCAAAACTCCCTGTTGACCTGAGGGAACCTATCCTTTTCCTTTCTGCATCTCTCCACACACATCAGTGGTCGTTCCTATGGATGGAGTGGGGTGGGCACTGACTCACAGACTGCTTGGAGCCCGGCCTTAATTAACTCACGTCTATTCACTGGTTATGGCTCACAGAGAAGATGATAGTCATTCCCTGTCGGCTCTGGCAGCCCAGGTCCCGCCCACCTCGGGAAGCTGGGCTGTTCTCTGTCACAGGAAGTTTGCCTTGAAGAAACTGTTGCTTCCCTCATTTTGAGTGAAAGATTAGTTTTCCAACCAGAATTAGTAGTTTAGGCTCAGAACATTGAGCTAGGGAAATGATCGTGAAAATTACACCTTCTGTTTTCCTTTTTTGTTTGCTTACATTTGCTTTTGGTTTGGGGGGCAGGGTATTTTGTTTCATTTATAAGTGTAATTGTCTAAGAGTCAATTTTATGTCTTCACCATCACCACCACTCCAGCACATAGATGGGGTCTGTTCTCCACAGTACCTTTTGTGTGTCTTCTACCTTAATATATTTTATTTTGTTTTGTCTCCATGTCCTGTCCCCACCCACACTTGGCCTGTGTGTCACAGCCAACACAGGAGCGTGGGGTCAGCCAGCCGTCCTGCTGCCTACCGGAGCAGGGTCGCCCTGCTCCCACCCCACAGTGGAAACAGGTAAAGGAACTGCCCAAGAACCAGAATCAGTGCTGCAGCCCTGGGCCTTCCCACCCTGTCCCCTCTTCTGAGCTGGCCAGGTGGAGGGCCACACCTAGAATCCCCGCTCCAGCCCAAGACATCCTGTGCTCTTTAAGTAATGACTCTGGTGAAAGTGTAATAAGCAATACTGATTGTATTGCATGATTTATTTAACGCCTTGGGATTTGAGAAACCAGTTAACAGGGTGGGCTGTGAATTTGATGTTGAAACTAGCTGAAGCTATGTGGTGAGTTGTTCAGGTACCCTCGCCTTTGGGGTTTTGCTATTAGAACCTTTGTCCTGAGTTGACTTCTTGCTGACATGTGTCCTTATGACCATTGGAGGGAGAAGCCTAAGCATTGGGGCAGTGGAATCTTTTATGTTAAACAGGCAAATGTTATCCAAGAAATCATCTTGAACTGTGATTTTTGTTTGTTTCAGACCTTGGACAAAGATGATCATGGGTATTTTTTTTGGTGTTTTGTCTACATTCATAAAATAATCTTTTTAGAAATTTTCACTAACGTAGTTGTAGGATAGCCTAGAAAGCTGCTTCTCCTAAGCAGTATGGAACAGGACAGAAAGAGAAGGAACAGCACCAGTTGGTAATTGACAGTACCGGAGGCCTGGAAGCCTCTCCTGTGCCGCCTCCACATCACAGCTGACAGGTCCAGCTCCCGTGAGTGCACGGGGCATGTCTCGTGGGTTGCTATCATTTAGGACTAAGATCTTGAAGGGTCAAAGGAGCAGGCCCTCGGTTCCCTCTTGTGCTGTGGAGTGATAGTTGTTTCTGGGAGGCACTGAGCAGTGGCTGGTTGGGTCTTGTTTTTTTCTAACCGTCTTTTCATGATATGCTGCATTAAAAGCAGGGCCCATGAGGCAGAGATGGAAACCATGTCCACACTCAGGAAGCCAAACTGCCTCTCCCTTTGCTTAGGGGAAGTCTTCGTGGGGGTGGAAGGAGGTGCTCATCAAAAATTTACTGCCATTTTTTTTTCTCACCCTTTCCTTGAAGTCTAGGTGGAAGGTGTAACGGGAAGGTGATCTTTAGTTGAAGATCTGCAGAAGGGGACATGCACTCTAACCTAGGCCTCCTGAACCCCAGATTCTCACAGTGCTCCAAGGGGAGCAGAGAGGAAGGGAGGGCAACCGTAATGCATGCAGAGGGCATGTGCCTGGGCCACTCTGAGCGAGCTTTCAGGGCAGTCCCGGGCAGGAAGTGTGGCCCAAGGAGCTGGGCCCAGCTGAGGTATCTGTCCTGGTGGAGACTGGCACATCAGCCCATTGCCTGACACAGCTGACTGTTCATGAAGCACCCGGCACTTCTGGCCTCATGCGTGAAGACGGCAGCTAGCTTGCGCCCTGGTGAGCAGTCAGTGAAGCCAAGTGCTGCTGAGCCGTGCGGGCAGCAGACTAGAGCCGTCGCACTCACTCATGGGCTCTGTGGGTGGGCCCAGAGGCGACGGTTAGAAAGAGCAACTGGGTGGGCGAGAAACTATGCACAGTGACCATCCTGTTGGAGCCTGTGTGCTTCATGCTGTGCATAGTCGGGAACTGTCAATTACCTGGCTGTCCAAGAACTAGAATTCAGTTCTTACAGCCATGTGGAATGTCTTGTGTTCTCATCGAGTTTTTTCTCAGTATCAAAGCAGGGATGGTTTCATGAATCTTGGCCTTGTAAATTTCTCTCTTAAAAGATAGAACATTAGAGGGCAAAGCCAGATGCTACAGAAACCTGGGGACAGAGGGACCCCCGTGGCATGCTGGGCCCTCTGTTTCTGACTCACCCTGACTGTTGGCCCCTGACTCACTGTGTGTTTCTCTTGATTTTTCCATTTTTTGTTCAGATAGAGAGGGAGGGAGGGAGAGGGAGAGAGAGAGAGAGAGAGAGAGAGAAACATCGACGTGAAAGGGACACATCGAGTGGCTGCCACCCACACAACGCAAACAGGGCCAGGGACAAACTGCAAACAAGGTACGTGCCCTTAGCGGGAACCAAACCCTGGTCTCTGGACTGCAGGCCAACGCTCTAACCGCTGAGCAAAACTGGCCAGGGCCCCAAGACCAGTTCTAACTTAGGTCATAGGATGAAGGAGAAATTAATAACGCTGCTTGCCAGTGACTTCTCTTTTTACCTCCTGCATAAACACCTTGGCAACTACCTCTCCACCCCCTTTGTTTTTTGCATCCTGAGGGCAAACTGCACACTCTCCAGCCTTGGTTTGGAAGTAGGTTGTCATGAGAGGTGGGAACAGACAGTGGCTACTTCCCCAGTCTCACGACTTCCATAACTGCTTCTCCTCTCAGTGCTGGCCCCCATGGCCGTTCTGGGCTCGAGGAGGTGAGCCTCCTCTGACCCAGGAGTCTCCTGAGTCCTGCAGGCCTCCGATCCTAGACGGGCCGCAGGGTGGGAGTGCAGTGAAGAGGGGCGGGACGGGTGATCCCGTGGGGTAGGTGTGGTTTTCAGGTAGTGAACACTATTTAATTTTTATGTCCTGTGTGCTGTGCTTGCACGTCCTTGGTGGTTTCCCAGAGCCTGTGGGTGTGCTTTAGGGATGAGAAGAGGAAGTGACGCTGGACTGTCCCACAGTTGGCCCTGGGGAGAGCGCTGCTCTGCTGCTGCCGTGTGTGCAGGTGACAAGCCGACGGCAGGGTCTCCAGGACACCCTCACGATGGCGGCCTGTGCGGCTTTCTCTTTTCTGTAACCAAGCTCATTTCTTCTGTCCCCCAACTTCCCCGATACAACCACTGGGAAGACTAGACCCTTGATCCCTGGTGTTTAGAAAGTACTGCAAGCCTGGCCCCAGAGCCAGCTGTACCTAACAAACAGCATGAGTCTGACCTGGGCCGACTACGGACTGCGGCACGCCACCCTCCCTGCTCGCAGTGATTTGCTGTTGAGGATGGAGGAGCAGGGCCAGGGCCTCTGAGATGCTTTTGGCAGATGCACCTTGGCCCTTCCAGAACCAGCCTACACGTGGCCACTGTTTCACAAGTGTTCTTTCTGTTTGTGTCTGTTGGTATAAAAGCGACGAGAAAAGGAGCGTTCTCGGACCTGCCCCAAAAAAGTGATCGCCCTCTCTCCACCCCCTACTCCACCTCCCTGTCGGGCACGTGGCCAGCAGGTGACCTTCTCTGCATGCTTTGTTGTCCTGTCTGTGTCTTCCTGCCTGCCTGTGTAAGTGGCTGGGGTAGAGACCAAATCAGGACTCCCTCTTTTCATTGATAACTTAAAAAATAGAAAGACCATTTGTAGAAATCATTTTTGTAGCAGAAGCAACCTTTATTGCTACAACTGAGCAGACTCCTGATTGGACCTCAGGATAGTACATTGTTATATTCAAACCTGGGTGGTTTTTTCTGGTCCCATGTCATGGGAATACAACCATACAGTCACAAACTAAAATTTAAACTATATTTGTCACAGACATGTGGTCCAAAAACCCTGGAAAGCAACATATTTTTATATAACCCCATTTAAAGCAGCCATTTCTGCCTTGCTACCCAAGGAGACTGAGCTAAGATGAACTTTTGGAAACTTTGTATAGGGCTCACTCTATGAGTTTGCTTCTGATTTTGAGAGCCCTGCCTCTTGCTTCTCCAACTTCTACCAACAAACACCTTCCCTTCCCATTCACCTTATCCACACTCCAGGCAGATGGTTCGAAACCACTTTGTAGCAGAATGAACGTAGACAGCATGGTCGACACAGATAGCAAGCATACACTTGTGGCAGCACACTTAGATCAGGTATATTTGCAGAATTGCTTTGTTGACGTTTGTAGCATGTCCTTGTAAAATAAAATACTAATTTTAAAGGTAGGATCTACGGAAAGGCATTTTCTCAACTAAGGCAGCCTATTTAAAAAGTGACTACTCTGTAACATGTCTGATTTTTCCAGGCCCAGCCTGTGCCCCTGGGTCTGAGCTGCCGTAGGTGTAGTGCTGCCCTGTGCCTCATCTCCTCGTAAGAGCTCACTTTTAGGAGCCTTTACTGTGAACTGGGTAGTATTCTAGGTGCTTTTCACATGTGACTTCAGGCAATACTTACATAACCTTACAAGGCAGGTTCTGTGATCTCCATTTTACAGATGAGTCTGAGGCATAGAGTAGGGAGTTAATTTGTACAAGGTCACACAGATGCGTCCAAGAACAGAATCTGCGTGGTGTGACTCTGAAGCCCACGCTCTGGCCTCATCCTGCCTGTGGAGACAGTATGCTCATGGACTCTGGACAAGAGTAGCCACAGCGGAAGATTTGGATCAGTTTCCCACCAGTACAAGGCCACACGGTGAATCTTGAGTTAACCAAAGTGTGATAGGAGCAGCCATCCTTGTCTTCGTCCCCATGAGTGCTGCTTGAGTGGTTTCCTGTCGTACAGGTTCCTACTCAGTCATGAGCCTCTTCCTGTTGACTGAGAACACTTCCAGCCTGCCCACTTACCCCTTTATGAAGGGCGCTCTGCCCCATGCCCCAAGCAGGGACCACTCCTCACCCTGCGGCCCCCTGGACTGTAGTAAGAATCATGTGTTTCCGCCGGTCCCCCTCCCACCTCTCCTTCCTGCGTCCTGTGGGAGATTCGCCCTCTAACCCACCTCTCCTCTTCAACCTTCTGCTTCATGCCTCTAAGCTCGTGCCACTCGGCGAAAGATGTTTGTTCTACCTTTGTACTAACTAGTTCTTTTTTAAAGATTTTAAAATTTATTTTTAGTGAGAGGGAGAGAAAGAAAAACATCAGTGAGAGAGAAACATTTATTGGCTGCCTCCTGCACACCCCCAACCAGGGATCGAGCCCACACAACCTAGGCATGTACCCTGACCAGGAATCGAACTGGCAACCTTTCAGTGCATAGGACCACACCCAACCCAGTGAACCACACTGTCCAGGGCCCTACTAACTTTTTTATTTATTGTGTGACTAACCTCAGGAGGCCAGATGGGCAGAATGGCTGTGCAAAAGTTGCCCTTGCGTCACTGGGTTTGATGTAGATGGGATTGTGGTTCCTTGGGATGGGGTCACCAGGAGACAGGATTTGTGTTGAAATTAATTCTGAATTTCTGGCACTATCACTTAGTTTCACATAGAACGTTGAGATGGAGCTTAAATTTCTACTTTGTTGCCAACAGACATACAGGGATCTTGATGCTGACAGCCGTGGCAAGCAGAGTCCCCGTCATGAGAGGGTAAAGAGCATGAACCGTGGCATGGGATGCTGCTGAGAGCCACACAGACGGGGACGCTGCGGGGAGGGCAGAGCTCTGCACGCTCCTGTCGCCCAGCCGGGAGCAGTCACCGCGGGGTGGGCACCCAGCCGCATGGACCCTGAAGGCCTAGCGCCTTCCCATTTCTGCCCACCTTCCCCGTTCCGTGCACGTGCCAGTGTGCAGTAGCATTTGACTGCCGGGTGTGGCTTCTTAGGCGAGGCTCTCGGTCAGTAAGCAGGTGGCATTCACTTAGCTTTTGCTGGTGGGGTAGCTTGAGGTAGAAATACTGAGAGAACTCTTACCGATGTGGGGGTTTCTCAAGTATGAAGAGGGTGGAGGGGAAAGGTTCGCAAATGAAAAGCTTTGGCCAGTCTTTTCTGAGAAACTAAAGGGGGAAATTACTGTTTACACCTGGCCATTGTATAACTTGATGAATAACAGATGCCTGTTTTCAGAAGCCTGCTTATTCTATGAAACTTCTTTGGTTGCTGTTGTTACCTATAAAGATGACCTGTGAGTGGGTGTAGCTGTGCAGCTGCCAGTTTCACGTGGGTCTTTTAAACACTTACCTCTCCTCTGCCTTTGCTCTCAGAGCTCAGTTATGGCTCAGCTGTGAACCATGTCAGTTCTGGGTCTATTGCGAAGTCGAGCGTGATGTTGTCTTCCTGTGCCTTGTCACTGAGCTAGGAGCAGGCGATCAGGACGGGCGGCCAGAGGGGGCTTGCCTGAGGTGGGGGCGGTCCTTTTCATCTCCCCCCCCGCAGCTCAGCTCTGCTCTGTTCACTCTGCGACCGCTTCCTCTCATGAGCTCTGTGTGTGCCCAGCCTCTGTCTTCCTTTACCCAGACTACAGTCCTCAGGGAGAACTAGCATGTTCACTGAGCAGGGCAATGTCCCACGTTTTGGGGAATATACATATTTAATAAGGTTTTGATGATTTTTACTGAAAGAGTGCCTAAAGGAAGAGTGAAGGGAAGTATGTTGGGTGAAAGAGGTTGGCCGGGAGAAGGTAATAGAAGTCTCGAGCTGCAGTGCATGGGGTACGGCAGCCACAAGGCTAGCAAGGAGTTTTCTTCCATTGTCCCAGAGAGCTAGTTTCCAGCTTCCTCAGTGCAGGGCCCCTGTCTAGATGCTCCTAAGGGTCACTGCTCTGTGCTCTTGCAAGACTGTCTTCTGCCCCATGACTGAGCCTGTGCACTCACCTGCTGTCTGCCCCCAGCTCCCACTCCTCCCCCGTTAGCTTCCACTGCTCTGCTGCCCCGGGCAGACTGGGTCTGCTCTCCTTCTGGTGGGTTGCTGTCCTCTGCAGCGATCTCTCAGTATGAAGTTAGTGTGGGCTGAAGCAGCGGTGCAGTGGGTCTGCCTGGAGCTGGAGGGGCAGAGGATCTCCTTACCATGATAGTCCTCTTCCCACCTGCACGTGTCTCACCCTGAACCTGCTAGGACACTAAGCAGTTATTGTTTGCCAAAGCCCTCTGCCACCTTCTCACTGTGCAGGGCCTGCACAGGCCTGTCCCTGAGGAAGGTCCTGGCCGCTGGATGCGCACGCAGCACGCAGGTGCAGAGGACTCAGGGGCCTCAGCTCTGCCCTTTTGAGGACTTCTGCGGTTTGACTGGCACTGTGGTGAGCAGTTTCTCCGCGCACTAGAATAGGAAGAGGAAAAGCCACATTCCTAGCCTTCATGTAGAAGAAGCAAGCTTCACTCTAGATTTGCTGTCTCTGTTGTCCGCTATTATAAGGCCAGTGGAGTGATAGGTGGTAGCATCTCCTGCTTAGGAGAAATCCTGGCTCAGGCTGGTGAGAGGCTCTGCTCTGCAGAGCACAGAGCATGTGGATGAGCAGGACCCACCTCTGCCCTCTGCCGCCTTGTGACTGGCAGCATTATCTACGTGGGGCAAGTGACATAAGAGCACCAGGCAAGAGAAGACAGGCTTTCCGAGGGTCCGAGCTGTGGTGACCGCAGTCCTGCACAGGCGTCCCTGGAAGCAGAAGGGAAGGGTGGGCTAAAAGCAAAATGCAGGCTTCGAATGGGCCGCTCATGCTTCTTGGCACTACGGGCATTTCCTTACTACATCTGGTACTGAGACAGTGGTCTGAAGTAAAAAAGTACCTAAAACTGCCAGATTCCTTATGTTCAGCTCTTTGTGGAACTTACTTAACATTTCCTTTTATTTATTTTCTTTCTCCATTTTGTATTTTGTAGCCAGAGCCTGAACCTTCTCGTCGATTTTTTGTCGACCAATGGGAACTTTCTCTTAATCTCCGCTCCTCCGGCCGCCCTGCCTCTCCCTCCTCTGACTCCCTCCGACAGGTAGCAGGCCTGGAACTGGGCAAAGCTGTTCCCTCTTCAGCCTCTGCTCACTTCACCCGCACAAATGCCACCTGGCCACAGGGAGGTTGCAGAGCTCTTAACTTTGGCTTGTCTCCTGTAGGAATCCAGTTTGTGTGTGGTGTATGGTGTGTGTGTGTGTGTGCGCACACACGTGCACACATGCATCAGTCTGTTGTACATGTGGGGTTTGTAAGCATTCACCTAAGTTGAAGAGGCTACTAGCTTGCATTGCATCAAGTTCTGTTGACATAAGCCCACTTGCATTATATTTCTACTATATCAAATAATCATAAACATTTTCAACCATTAGCTTTTCTAACTCCAGATATATTTATATTAATATGTGTTATAAAATACGAACCACAGTGTCATTAAATCGCTTAAATTGGAGTGGTGACTATGCAGTGTCCTGGGTGCCTCATGAGTTGTGATCATTTAAGGAATGAACCCTGCTATGTCCTGCAGCAGCCCTGAACCAGCTGTACAGTAGTTTACAGAGAACGGAGGGTCCTCTGCCTTTCCTGTTTATGTTTCCTGCTCTCATGCCTGTAGCAGATCATGGAGTGTGTGTGGAAGCATGTGCATGTGTGGCGAAAATAGTGTAAGTCCAGTGACTGCTATGCTGTCACTATTTCTTAAGAGTAGAAAGAAGGAAACCATCTGCTTTTTATGCCAGAAACATATAGAACCTCTCTAGGGGGTGCCTGTCAGTACCATTACGCCGCTGAGAGCTGAGTGGCAGATGTCTTTGAAGCAGCCCAAACTCCTTGCTGATCACGTGCAATGTCCATGCTGGTCTCTGGTTGGGGAGAAGCGCCTGCAGTCTGGGTACCCAGGGCTTGCTCGGTGTCCCAGCCTTGTTTCTGACATCTGGACCAGCCCTCATGTACCTGCTGCAGAACGAAAGACGTGCGATGTTCTGCCCCCTTGGTGTCAGCTGTTGAAGGATCTGCTTCAGGCCTCAGCTCTCCTCATGACTGGAATCTGAAGAAGGTTCCGCTTCAGCCACTTGTTAGTCTCAACCACTAATGGGTATGGGCTGTAGCGTTAAGATGCAAGAGCACTGACCCTTAGAAATCTCCTTATTTTAAATAAAAAATAAAATCGACTCCTTGGTTCTAGCTGAACCTCAGAGAATTGTGGCCCATTTTTACGTAGTTAGTTTCCCTGGTGTGCCCCTCTGGTGTGCCCTGCTGGCCCAGGGCATGCTGTCGCTCAGGCTGGCTCTCTCACGGCTGTGTGCTTGTCCATGCAGCCACCTTTGTTGTTAATCCTCACCCAAGGACCGTTTTCTCTTGATTATTTTTTAGAGAGAGTGGAAGGAAGGAAGGGAGGGGGAGAGAGAAACATCGATGTGAGGGAGACACATCAGTTGCTTGCCTCCTTCATGTGTCCCAACTAGGGGCAGGGATCAAACTCGCAACCCTTTGGTGCATGGGTCGACGCTGTAACCACTGACCCACACCATCCAGAGCACGAACCACTCTCTAACCAGAGCTGTTGGCACCCGCAAGACAACTGCTCCTGGTGCTCTGAGTCAGAACTGGAGTCGGGCTGCTGACACCCAGCAGGCAGCATCTGCTGCTCACAGTCCAGGAGGATGCCACACACGAGGTGTCTTGGCCACCTCCATGTAGAAGGACTGCCAGCAAGGCTTGGACCGCGTTCCCTGGGGACAGGCTCAAAGGTGGGTTCCCTAGCAGGAAGGTTTACCGTTGAATTTGATAGTTTCCTCCTGTTCCTTCTTCAACATTGCTAGGAAGAAGATTGAGTTGGTTGCATTTTTTCTGGAATAGAAACCTTCTGACTTCCCAAGACTGAACTGGGAGACTTGTCTGCCTGCTGCAGGGTTAGCCTCCTGCAGGCGTGTCTGAGGCCCACCTGATGGGAAGGCTTGGGCCTCCCTGCCTGGGTAGAGCGCAATGTCATCAGCGAGAGTGGGCTGAGAAGGGGTCTTTCAGACAGAGCTCGGGGCTTATGAGCGAAGCGTCAGCAGTGAGGAAGGAGGTGATCTGTTACCCAAGCGGGGAGTCAGCCCTTGCAAGAACGAGCTTTCTAAATGAGGAAGTAACTTCGCAAGCCCTCCCCGGCCCTTGAATCATGCTGTGAACAGTCTGGCACCCGCTGTCAGGGGGAGCATTGTCCCTCAAGTTCTCTCTGTGTCATGAGTCACTAGGGTCTAGGCCCCTGCTACCCCCTTTGTGTCTGCGTCACCCCTCCCATAGCACTGCGCATTCCAGGGGACGTGAAAGACAGCTCCTCCCTCCTGAGTGTGACTTTCCCGCCTGTGCCGATAGCTCTGTGTGGACACTGACACCTTGTTTCTTACCACCGTGTTTCCCTGCTCGCGGACACTGTGTGGGCATGGTTTGCTGCTGCACCTTGGATTCACTTTATACCTTTCAAAGAGTTTTTTTTTTTTCCGGTCTTCTTAATTTATTTTTTTTCCTTCTCATTTCACTTCATTATGATCATTTTATAATCTTCAACCAATAGAAGTATATAAAGATGTACACGGGTGGAGTGAGCTCATTGGCTGAGCAGATAGCCAATCAGCTTCAAAGGAAAGAACAGCCCAAAACTCTTCTAGACAAGAAGGAACTGGTAAGCTATGTGCTGAGGATCCTGTCTGTAGGTAGAGCACAGCCGTGGCCACAAGCCGCTTCATCCGCGTGGTGGAGCAGCACCGAGCCAGCATGTGCAGAGTGGTCATTTTCTCGAGCTGTCTGAGTTCTGTGACTGAATTCCTAGGACTGTAATCATTGTTTTAGTTACAATGTTGTGTGGGAAAGTTTCCTTAATATGTCTAAAAATGATTGCTCAGGAGTCCAGGGGACCCACATCCATAGAGAACCACATGAACACTTAGTATGTATATTTTTAGGTTACCTTCAGAAACAATTCATCCAAAGTAATTTGGTTTGTTTTTTGTGAAATTCTGTAAAGGGACTTGGGTTTCCTGTCGGCCGGACTCACGTGGACTCACGTGGACTGGGCCCCGGCGCCGCCACTGTCCGGGAGGGCCAGGAGCGGAGGGAGCGTCCCTCGGCCAGGGCCAGCGCCTGCTGCAGGCGAGCCCGGGGACGCTGCCTGACGGCTGCCCCCACCCCTTTGTAGGGCTCTATGAAGAAGGAGTTTCCACAGAACTTGGGAGGCAGCGACACGTGCTATTTTTGCCGGAAGCGGGTCTACGTGATGGAGAGACTGAGCGCCGAGGGCAAGTTCTTCCATCGGAGCTGCTTCAAGTGCGAGTACTGCGCCACCACGCTGCGCCTCTCGGCCTACGCCTACGACGCCGAGGACGGTGAGTCCGGCCCAGCGCCCTGCGCCCCGAGCTTGCCCTTCGTCCGTCCGTGTGAGCAGGTCTTAGGGCCTCTGACCGCGTCCTCATGTATGCACTCTATCGTTCTGCCTCTCCTACCCCCACCCCCCGTCTCCCCTAGTCCCTTGTCAGTGGTCCCCGAGCCCTCGGCTGCCTCGCAGCAGCACCCTGAGGACGGGATGAAGATGGCGTGCTCGCTGCGTCACTTCCCTGCTTCACACACGCTTCTTACCTCTGCTGGGGTCTTGAGATATAAAGGACATCCGTGGGACAAGTCTTTAGCCTTTGCTTTAGAGAAAGGGAATCACAGGCCTATAGAAGTCACACTTCTTGCCTAAGGTTAATGACAACAAATTGAGAGCAGATCTCCTGCCCCTGGGTTCTCAGACTCTTGCCCCCTGGAGAAGACAGAACTGTGCCCAGTGTTCCCACCTCTCTGCAGCCTCAACATCTCTCTGGTGAACACAGGGCCGAAACCTCATTCACTGTGGTGGTCAAGTCCTGGCCTTCTGTGACAGCGGAAAGACCTGGACAGGGCAGAAGGCAGGAAACGATGCCAACAGAGAACAAAGCCTGATAGATACAGAGAACAGTGCCTGCCATCTGAACACCCTTTAAAGGTCATTGAAAAGTCACCAAACACACTGATGGCCCTGCATTCCTCCCTGCAGGACACTGAGGGAACTTCATGAGAGGCAGTCTCAGTGCTTCCAAAGCAATAGAAAGCCCTGGGTTAACAGGACAGGGAAGTCAGTCCTCAGAGGGTGACACTCGGTCCCTCACATTGATGGGCGTTTCAGGAGCTGCAGGGTGCAGGAGAGGGATACCACGCAAGTAAGAAATAGTCACTTTGGGCATCCGGACTCCTAGTGACGGAACAGGCTATCAGCCTGTCAAAAGAAGCCAGAAAGGAGCCAAAGTGGTGAGCTGAGAAAAGTTAGCTTAGCACTGTGACACCTGATCCTCTTATTGCACTAATGAGAAGCACCACCCAGCAAGGAAAAACTAAGGCAGTTGTCTAGATAAGGAAGTTATGTTGTTAGGTGTCAGATTTTCTGTCCCACTATTCCCACACACCTGCTCTTTGGATAACAACTTTGATCTCCAAGGATTGGAGTTGCTGGATGGAGCCTGCACAGTGCCTCTTTAACTGTCCTCAGTGCTTGGAGTGTTTTAGCCTTTCACTGCATAATCTGCCTGGAAAGAAGAGCCAGTTGGTCCATAAACTATGGGCTCATCATTGCCATGTTCTCTTGAGGACCCAGCCAAAGTGTGAGATGTGCTTCAAGGAGCTACATTCTGATTGGAATCATGAGACAGGGTCTGTGAAGCAATAGCAGACGGTGTGATAGTGTCTGATCAAGAGCAGTTAATGACCTGGTCGGTTTGGCTCACTGGTTAGGGTGTGAGTCCTCAACCAGAGAGTCATGGGTTTGATTCTGGTCAAGGGCATGTACCTTGGTTGTGGGTTTTTTTGTTTTTTGTTTTTAACTTATCTTTATTGTTGAATGTATTACAGATGTTCTTCATTTTTCCCCCATTGACCCCCTCCTCTCCATTTCCGCCCCCCTCCTGCCTTTCTCCACACTGTTGTCTGTGTCCATTGGTTATGCATGTAAGTTCTTTGGTTTATCCCCCCCTCCCAACCACCCTTCACTTTGAGGTTTGTCAGTCTAACAACCAATTTGTACTTCTTAATCCCTTCACCTTTTTCACCCATTCCCCCAACCTCCCTCCCATCTGGCAACCAACAAAATTTCTCTATATCTATGAGAATGTTTCTGTTCTGCTTATTAATTTTGTTTGTAGATTCAAGTCTTGATAGATAGGTATTCATTGCCATTTTGTTTGTTCACATTTCTTATCATTTTCTTCAAGAAGACCTTTCAACATTTCGTATAATAACGGTTTGGTGGTGATGAACACCTTTAGCTTTTTCTTGTCTGGGAAACTCTTTATTTATATGGCCATCGATTCTAAATGACAGCTTTGCAGGATAGAGTAATCTTGGTTGTAGGTTCTTGCATTTCATTCTTTATTTTTCTTATTTTTTAATTTTTTTATATTCTTTATTTAGGGGAGAGAGAGAGGCAAGGAAAACGTGCCGGGGTGGAGGGGAAGAGCGAGAGGGAGACAGAGAGATCAGTTTGTGCTTTTCATCACTGAATATATCTTACCACTCCCTTCTCGCCTACAAGTTTCTTTTGAGAAATCAGCTGACAGTCTTATGGTAACTCCCTTGTAGGGGACTAACTGCTTTTAAGATTCTCTCTTTGTCTTGAACCTTTCACATTTTGATGATGATGTGTCTTGGTGTGGGCCTCTTGGGGTTCATCTTGTTTGGAATTCTGTGCTTCCTGGACTTGTATGTCTGTTTCCTTCACCAAGTTAGGGAAGTTTTCTGCCATTATTGTTTCAAATAGGTTTTCAATTTCTCGTTCTCTCTTCTCCTTCTGGCACCTCCAAGATGCGAATGTTGGCACACTTGAAGTTGTCCCAGAGGCTTCTTACAGTATCCTCATTTTTTTTTTTGGTACGTACCCCTAGCGGGAACCGAACCCAGGACTCTCTGGTCCGTAGGCTCCAACAGCTGAGCCAAACCGACCAGAGCTGTCCGCACCTTTTTTGGATTCTTTTTTCTTTCTGCTGTTCTGATTGGGTGTTTTTTGCTTCCTTATATTTTCTTTTCTTTTTTTTTTTAAGAATTTATTTTTGTTACAGACGTTTCTCCTTTTTTCCCCATTGACACTCTCCTCCCCATCCCCCTCATTCCATCCTTGGCTTTGTTGTTCGGTCCATTGGATGCATATATGTTCGGTGGTTTTTCTCTTTCTTCCCCCCCACCCCCCACTTCTGGGGATTGTCAGTCTGTACTTTACTTCCACATCTCTGGGTCTACCCTATTGCTCAGGCTGTTATGTTCATTATATTCCACAAATAAGTGAGATCACATGGTATTTGTCTTTTTCTGCTTGGCTTGTTTCGCTTGGGATAATACTTTCTAGGTCCCGCCATATCGTCTCAAAAGATAAGAGATCTTTCTTTCTTACAGCTACATAGTACTCCATCATGTATATGAAGCAAAGATATTTATCCATTCGTCTACTGATGGACATTTGGGCTGTTTCCAGATCTTAGCTATTGTAAATAGTGCTGCTACAAACATGGGGGTACATATATTCTTTCTGATTGGTGTTTCAGGCTTCTTAGGGTATATTCCTAGAAGTGGGATCACAGGGTCAAATGACAATTCAATTTTTAATTTTTTGAGGTAACACTATATTGTTTTCCATAGTGGCTGCACCAGTCTGCATTCCCACCAGCAGTGCACGAGAGTCCCCTTTTCTCCACACCCTCACCAACACTTGTTGTCTGATGATTTGTTGATGGCGACCATTCTGACAGGTGTGAGGTGGTACCTCATTGTTGTTTTAATTTGCATCTCTCTGATGATGAGTGATGTTGAGCGTTTCTTCTTATGTCTCTTGGCCATTTGTATGTCCTGTTTGGAGAGGTGTCTATTTAGGTCCTCTGCCCATTTTTTAATTAGGTTCTTTATCTTCCTTTTGTTGAGGTGTCTGAGTACTCTATATATTTTAGAAATTAACCCTTTATCTGATGTATCATTGGCAATGATGGTCTCCCATACAGTGAGTTGCCTTTCCATTTTGATGGTTGTTTCTTTTGCTGTGCAGAAGCTTTTGAGTTTGATGTAGTCCCATGTGTTCATTTTTTCCTTTGTTTCTGTTGCCTTAGGTGATGTATCAGTGAAAATTCTGCTGCGTATCCGAAATTTTGTTGCCTACATTTTCTTCTAGGCTTTTTATGGATTCACTGGTCACATTTAAGTCTTTTATCCATTTTGAGTTTTTTGGGTATGGTGTAAGTTGATGGTCTAGTTTCATTTTTTTGCATGTAGCTGTCCAATTTTCGCAACACCATTTCTTAAAAGAGGCTGTCTTTATTTCATTGTATGCTCTTGCCTCTTTTGTCAAATATTAACTGAACATAATGTCTTGGGTCCATTTCTGGGTTCTCTGTTCTGTTCCACTGGTCTATATGCCTGTTCTCATGCCAATACCAGGCTGTTTTGATTATAGTAGCTTTGTAGCATAACCCGATATCTGGTATTGCGATCCCACCTACTTTGTCCTTTTTTTTCAGGATTGCTGTGGCTATTTGGGGTCTTTTTTGGTTCATAAGAACTTTTGAAATATTTGTTCTAGTTCTGTGAAATATGTTGTTGGTATTTTGATGGGGATTGCATTGAATCTATAGATTGCTTTGGGTAGTATGGACATTTTAATGATGTTAATTCTTCCAATCCATGAACAAGGTATGTGCTTCCACTTTTTTATATCTTCCTCTATTTCTTTTTTCTATGTCCTGTAGTTTTCTGCAAATAGGTCCTTTACTTCTTTGGTTTAAGTTTATTCCTAGGTATCATAATTTTTTTGCCATAGTGGTAAATGGGATTGTGATTTTTAGTTTCTCTTTCTGTGACTTCATCATTGGTGTATAAGAATGCCATTGGCCCTGGCCTGTTTGGCTCAGTGGTTAGAGCGTTGGCCTGCGGTCCAGAGAGACCCAGGTTCGGTTCCCGCTAAGGGCACGTACCTCGGTTGCAGTTTGTCCCTGGCCCTGGTTGGTCGTGCGGGTGGCAACCACTCGGATGTGTCCCTTTCACATTGATGTTTCTCTCTCTCTCTCTCTCTCCCGCTCTATCTGAACAAAAAATGGAAAAATGTCCTCAGGTGAGGATAAAAAAAAAAAAGAAGAATGCCATTGATTTCTTGATGTCAATTTTGTATCCTGCTACTTTGCCAAATTCATTTATAAAGTCTAGATTTTTGATGGAGTCTTTAGGGTTTTCTATGTATAATAACATGCCATCTGCAAATAATTACAGTTTCACTTCTTCCTTTCCAACTTGCATCCCTATCTTATTCCTGTTCTTAAGGGAAATGCTTTTAGTTTTTGCC